GAGTATTCTTTAGCTTATTAATTACCTTAATTTATTTATCCACAATTTTTTCCACTTCATACTTTATAAATGTTCTTAGAGACTATAAGCTTGCTATAAGCAAAGAAGAGTGTATTTATTCTCAATTATCTAATACATATATTTATACTCTAGAAGCATTGCACTCTATCACTTGAATTCTCACTTGAAATCAATAAAGGGACTTTCATTGTGTACTTGTAATTAGTGTTATTGGCAAACTTAAAGTACGTCATTTGCTTAAATTACCCTTGGTTGCTTCACTTCTCATTCTTAAAAATAATAAGAAAAGGTAATTATGATTTTTATCATATGGTCCCTAGTCTTATTTTCTTTCTTCGTAAAATATTACATGTCAATTGATGAATGGATTACAAGTATTAATTAGATTGTATATATTGTATCCCTATGAATTAATGTCATAATGAATAAATATGAAGTTCTTTGTTTTGTGGTCAAACTTAATTTTTTTTATTGAGCACAAGCACTTTGACTATACTTTAAAAATTCTTGGGTGAGAGATACTAAGCTTCCTTTTACACCATACTTCTTTTGGTGTCTTTTTCCCTAATACTTCTTATTAGTGATTAATTATCCAACTAATTACATATGCACAATCTTATTCATACACTCCTTTCATAATATATTTCTTTTATGCTTCTCGTTAATATAAGGAAGATTTTATTTTCATTAATACTTCATTTTAATCTAGAAATCTCACAATTATTTATGGTTGTTATAAGTCATTAACTTTATAGAGTTCTTGAAATTTTTTAATGAATTCTAATCCTTAGTCATATCATATGGATTGGATCAGTTTACCCATTTTCTTCACGAAAGTTCAAAGCTTTTTGAACATTTTATAGCCTTTTGAATTTCACTTGAAGATATACACTTATATTTTTTTTTGAAAAGTCGTCAATGAATATAAAAAAAGTAGTTAGTTATATAGAGTAAGCTTGATTTTATTAGTCCAAATATATTTGTGCCTGCTGATATAGAGGGTTGTAATTGCTGACCATGCAAAAAGTTTTGAAGTTTTTCGTTTGTGATAAGATATAATATCAAACGTATTGTATCATCTTGAAAAGGCAAATATACAACCCAGCAATAGATCTAATCATGAAATACTAATTTCAATTTCCTAGTCAACATTATGAGAAGTTCTTCCCCTGCTTTATGTGGGTAGAGCATTATTTATTTTATTATTTGGTCATGTATCCATAAAGAGAAACTAAAATACAATTCTCCTAAAATAAATCTACAATCAAATAAAAATTTCTCAATTAGAAATTTCGTTGTTTCTCGACTACGACGCCAAAAACTTGACCGACCAGCAATCACATGATTTTTAAGTTCTGAAACATGACAAAAAACTTGACCCAATTTATATTTAACGACTAGTGTGCAAAATAAATATGTTATAGAATTGATTAATGACTTACACACTAGGGGTACTACACAAGTATACATATTGTTTCAAGTAATATAGAGTTTTCTGTAAAAACTCCAGTATCGTATCCACGGAGAATAAGTGAATTTCTATGTCAACTTAGAAATATTTCTACACAAACTGTAAACAAAGTTTGCAGGAGAATAATATTGAACTTTTTCTAAGGGTATAAATGGTTTGTGTATGGTTCACTTTCTTGTTTCTTCCAATCGGATGTTCCCATTGCTCTGGTGGATGTTGTCTCTCTTATCTACCGTCAAATTCCTCTACTTGGTGTTTGTTGGTGAATGTGCTTGGCTTCTTTTTGGGAGCTATTAGTGGGCATTTGGATCCATTTAAGAATATGTCGATGCATGTTTGACTATTTTGGTTTCGATGCATGTTTGACTATTTTGGTTGATCTTTTACTCTATTTGGGGGTTCTTTCATTTCAGGATCTTCTTTGACGTTCTCTTCTCGAGAGTGTTCGTGTTTTTTTTTTAATCTCTGTAATATATATTGATTGTTGGTTTGCTTTTATTGTTCTTCTAGTATTATAATTTGTGTCGTTGTGTTGTCTGTGCGCTTATGTGTCTTGCATTGTTTTTCTTTCTTCTTAGTAAAGCTCGACGTGGCTCCCACTTTTCCCCAAAAAAAATAAAAATTTAGAATAATTTCAAAAATGATGTTCTAGTTTACTATTATTACCAATAAGGACTAGTTAAATTGTTGAGGGATTGAAGGGTTACACTAGATTTTCCATTAACTTATGAAAAAAATTAGATCTTGTGTTCAAATAGTCTTCTTTTTCATCAAAACGTCAACGACAGAAGATCTTCTCTTCCATTTTTTCATCCCAATTAATTCCCAATTCCCACCAAAAAATCCAGTTTTTCTTCTCCGCTCTAAATATTTAATAGCAGCTACCACCTTGTTACCATCATTTTTTTCCTGATAAACATTCTCTTCTCATATTTCCTCCTACAAATGACAGACCACAACAATAATATAAGCTGAAAAACAAAGATAAACAATAATCTAATCCAGATCATTTCTAACCACCTGAACATGATTAATACTAATGATCTTTATTAACTTTAACAATAAAACTAAATTAATAACAAAGAATAAGACCATTCTTAATCAACTTTTCCCCACCTAATAACTTCTTAATTGTCTGCACTAAGCCTGCATTAATTTTTTTTAAATTTTTTCTCTCAAAATTTAAAATTCTAATTCCTGTGATGATGACATGCGAATTGTAGATCAGCAGGATTTGGTCTGCTGAACAGTTAGTAGAAAACTATTGAGTCCATAGGTGCATTACATTCCCAGCAAAATATCAAATTATTATTTCTTAAAACTGTAGCATGTGATGTGGTCCTTTTCTGCACAACCATGAATGTTAATCCTTCATGCTCCCTCCTTTTCTCTTGCACTGAACCCAAGAAAGCAGCATCCACATGAGAACAAGAATCTCTCTCGTGAATCATCGATGAGAGAGAGAGAGAGAGAAGAAGAAGAAGAAAGTTAATTAAGGTTTAATTAATTTAAACAAGTAATATTCTTAAGCATTTTTAAGCCAGCAGACAAATCCAAATCTGTACAGGCAAAATATATGTGGCTCTAAGAGAGTTGGAATGGAATCTTTGGGTATTTTTGTCAAAACAATGTGATTTGTATGTAAAAAATCAACTATTTTGGGTATTTCTTTTTGACGTGGATGTCATGTTGAGAGTTTGGATGTGGAAAATGATGCCAAGCCTTATGAGGATGACATTGAAATATATGGATTATTAAGAAAAAAATAATTTTTTTATATTTATGGGTCCGTTTGGGGCAGCTTATTTGGAGCGGTGACGTTTTGAAAACGCACCTCATCTGTTTGGGTAAACTGCGTTTTGACAGTTTATGCGTTTTGAAAATGCTGAAAATAGTGTTTTCACACCGCACCTGTCTAGGTACGGTGAAATTTTTCTGGCAGCGGTTTTACTTTTCCAAAAAAATAAAAATTTGTAATAGTCATCGCACCTAGCTTATCAGCAAATTATTTTTAATCAGCTTATCAGTAGATTATTCAATAAGCTGCAGCTGCCCCAAACAGACCCTATATCTCGATATGTTTTTAATACAATTAAAGAGCAATAAAAGATAATTAACCTCAGTTTTTCACATAAGATGAAATGTAATTAAAAAAAAGGGGCATTTACATATATATATTAAACAAAATTCATGTAGACATTCATATTTATATGGATGTCACTCAAATATTTAACATCACATACACAAAAAAAATACATCTTATCATGCATGGGCTTGTAACACCAAAGTATTATAAGTATAAAATATCAAACTTTTTGAGTTAGATATGTAAATACATAAGAATTGTTTGGTATTTATGAAAATTCTCCAAAAAAATAAAAAGCAAGCATGTTCTTTAGTGTTACAAATCATATCCATGTAATGTTAAAAGGTGGTAAAAAACTGAGTTGACCCTATATGATCTTAAAAGTTTTTTTTTTATTATTTTTTATTTAAAAATTATGTATTTTTTATTAGAAAATTTCATAAGAAATTTTAAAATAGATTATTGTCCAATGAAATATAATTTTATTATGAAATATATAATGAATTTCTATATCTTGTATACAGTATTGTCCAATGGCATATTTATCATCTGGTCAATGATGTGAAGACAATGTGTTCAAATTTTACATATTTTATGACATATATAATGAAGATTATGTTATAAGTTCAATTTATTATTAATGCAAATAATATTCTTTTTAATATTAGACTAAGTTAAACCCATTCCTCAGTAAGCACTTTGCATCTGGTCAGAATAAAAAAAAAATACTTTTGAACATTTTACATTATAATCCAGACATTATGATATTAAAAAGCTAAATAGCATTATGATACCCATAGACTTAAATATAACATGTACATATCTACAAAAATCAATTATTGTGGATGCTAAAGAAGGTGAAAAATATAAAATCATAAGCTACAAATAAAATATTGAAAGAAGGTTGTGTAATATAATTGTTTATCATTAATAAGGTGGTTTATGTAAAAAATTCAGTATCTATGTAAGAAGTTATAAAAAAAAAATTATTTTTTTTATTCTATTTAACATAAACATAAATATTTGAAAAACATTTAACATGCATGTATCATCTAACCTTACCAAGTAATTAAACAACAAAAGCATCCATTAATCATCTAAGAACAGATTGAAAAGCGAATCAACTAAAAAAAAAAAAGAAAATGATTCAGAAATAGAACTTAAAAGTCAAACATACAACATTAAAATTATATATTTATTAAACTAGAACCCAAATATGTTGTTTTTGTAGCCACTTTTAATCGATTCTTCTTCAAACAAAATAAGTGATGGGTATGAATTGAAAGGAACCAGCTTTAATTTCCCTCCTAAACAAAGAAAAAAAAAAGGACTGAAAAGATATAAAAATTAAACCAAATATCAACTCTTTGTTTCAAAAAGAAATAGGAAGCATCCATACCATTTCCCCACCTATATATATATGTCTAATTCTCCAGCCATGACTTCTTCTTCTGATTCTCATAAGAAGTAGTGATACAAGTTTCAATACCAGCCATGTTGAGAAGATCTCTATGTGATATAGGTCTCAATCCTAAGAAATCTCTTGTCAGCCCATCGTTCCCATTTCTTCCTTCCTCTCTCCTTCCATTATCATCAAACACAGAACCTTGTGGCATAGACTTGTTACTTGATGAACTGATAGCTCCCATTTGAGCTGCTTTCTGTAACAATGCAGTGGCAGACATGTGTGGAGCTGGAGCTGAGATCAAGTGATGTGGAATAGCATTCTCTTGAGAGATTGTTGTTGCATAAAGAGAGAATGGGAAGTCATGGTAGTTAAGCCATGAAGGTGGATTCTGTGTTTCTTTTTTAAGAGTGTTTAACTGGTCTTGTAGGTTTTGGTTTGTTTCTGGTGTGGCTGATTTGATGAAATGAGGAAATTGTGGTGGTGGATTAATGGGTGGTGGTGGTGGAGCTGGGAAGAGAACTGGATTTTGATTCATTAATGGATTTGTTGTTATTGCTCTTGCGCTCTCCTCAGCTAGGGCATCGCAGAAGGCTCTGTGAGTGATGAAGCTATCTCTCCTGCAAAACTTACATTGCTTGAACAATAATGTTGTGGAAGAACAAGAAAAAATTGCATTTTTGGATGAATGATATAATTAAAACGAATTTTTATTTTTATTTTTATTTGAAAGAAGAGAGCAATGGTACTAAGAAGGAGGAGAAACTATATGGTATTAAAAAAATATCATTTTTGGACACGGCACTATGTGGCTATGCATGCCTCAGATGTACACGTAATTATAGATGTATTATTGTCTTAAAATTATTATATTTTGAGTGTCTGCATGTGAGGTGAGAATTGGCAAATACTGCAGAGCTGTGTCAGATTTCAACTTAATAATTTTTTGAATCCATAGCCTTGTTATTATCCAATTCTTGTAACCAATTCTTTGTGCACCAATAGAAATTAATATAATCCTAATTGCCCAATTCCTTCTGTTGTAGGAGAAATCATTATTAGCTTAACAGATAATATGTCCTTAAGAACTATTTATTCAAATATGAAATGTATTTGTGTTTTTTCTCATTCATTTACTATATTTTGATTTGTTGCATTACTTGACAAAATATATCATTTTACTGAATAAAAACAAATTTGTTATAATTAAATTATAAATGAATTACTATCTGAATAAAGTGCTGTTTCATTTGCTGTACATAGGTACATATGCCATCAATACTATTACATGCATAATATTAATATCATAATCTTCACTAATCATATAAAAAACAAACAAAATTAAGAAATTTTAAATAGTTTAATTAATTAGTTACCGAGAGAAGAGAGTTCCACAATCACAGCGATACTCCCTGGTTCCACAGATCTTAGAATGCGCCTTCCAATCCGACTGAACCGCATACTTCTTCGCACACTTGTCACACTTCCATTTCTTCTCCCCATGCTTCCGAAATGTTTCTTAATACCAGTAAGATCTCCGAGAGCGCGTGACGCATCATGGTGGACGCACGTGACCTCAGGGCATATGTAAACCTTCTTCCTCACCTCCTTGCTGGTTCTCTGCTTCAGCTTCCACGGCAGATTATGCCCTCTTCTGTGAAGCTGAAGATTCTGATCTCGCTGAAATCCTTTGTTGCAGATCTCACAGACGAAGCGGTTTGTAGCCATGAGGCTCTTTGGAGATAACGCAATCACCTCAGCTTCGGGATCTGTTGGGTAATTAAACCATGTAAAAATCTGATTTTTAAGTGAAGACATAGTTATATGATGAATAATAATTAACCTGGGTTGCCTGGAAGATTTCGCTTCTTCTTTGTGGGGGGAGGATTAGGGTTTTGGTTTGGGGAGGCGAAGGAAGAGGAGACGCTGGCTTCACAGGAGGCAGAGGTTAGATTAGACATGTTTTCTTCTAGTTGGAGTTGTGGAGGGAATATAAAAGCTTTCATTTTTGGTTCAGAGAAAAAGCAGGCGAAGTGCTAAAAAAGCCTGGAATGGATCTGGAAAGGGTATCAGACTGTTCTGTAAGAGAAAAAAATTAAGTAAAAAACAAAACTTTAGAGAATTCATTAAGCGTTTGTAGATCTAAATTGAAATATATTCTATTAGAAAGATGAAGGAAGATCTAGAGGGTTAGAGATAATACCTGCAGATAAAGCTGTACCAAGTCTTTTGTTTGAACATCATGATGCAGTGGCTGTCAGCTAAAGTATATGTATGAAAGAAATCAAACAAGAATAGTGGACATGTGAAAGAATTTGAAAATAAAAAATAGAAATTTAAGAGTCCAAGAGGATGATTTGGAGATATTTATTTTTGCTGCTGAGAGGAGATTTGATCAGGAATGAGAAGCGAGGAAGAGTAGAAAGTAAGGAGGGAGAGGGAAGTAAGCAAGCGTGCATTCGTCCACCCATTCAACACACACATCCCTACACTGACGTTGCAATTTCTGTCTTTATCTATATATGTCCCTACTAATCAAGGAATTTCTTTGCCATACTTTCTATTATAATTAATTTATTATTTTTTTTTTTTTGTATATAACAATGTCATCAGACTTATCGCAAGCAATAGTTTTCACTGAAGCACAAATTAGGTGAGAGGATGTTGGCAATTCTTACACTTGAAGAGATTTTAGGGAGAAATTTACATTTGGGAATAGTTGTTGTGCAAAGATTGTGGAAAACAATATCACACAAGGAAGAAACAATCAAATATAGGGAGAGTGATTATGTGATTCGGTACAAATTCACTTACGTTCACGGGGAGAGATTATTCTGGTATCAGCTGGTGGGAAGAAAAGAAAGGTCAATTGAGTTAGTTTTATAACTCTAATACACGTAGATTTTATATAAGCCCTCATATAAAGAAAAGAGGATTAAGGTATACAAATTATAAATATTAAATATAGAAAAAAATATCATATATTTTGATTTTCCCAAATTAAGTTTTATAATATAGAAAGATCATACAATTAGATATCCCCAAATTACATTACATAATATCAGTCTTTGTAATATACATTCTTCTAATTTACAATGATTAGATTTTAATACTTTTCATTGATGGGAAATTAACGCGAACAATTCTCAAACTTTACAGGGCTTAAGATCGATTAGAAATTAAACCATAGCATGCAATAACATGATCACACCAATTTGAGAAAATTGCATAAAGCACAATTATAGCGACAAAAAAACACACATAAAAATTTTACATGAAAATACTCGAGAACCGAAAAAATACCATGAAGTCATACTACAAGAAATCTTCACTTTAGAATTCATAAAGTTTGACAAAGAACTCATACAAATTTTCTCTCTACACAAAAAGAAAACTTACAAGATTTGCTTCACAATCTTCTCTTTTCAATCTGATGCAAAAAATCACGACAAATCACTAAAATCCACCTCTTTGACACTCTTCATCTTCATCGAGATACTCGTCAAAGAAGTTACAAGAAAGAAACTCGAAAGCACAATTACACTACTCAAACTCGATATTAAAACCAGAACTTCCGAACCAACCACTCCTAGAGCTTAGGTTCCCAGACATGGCGCCTAAGGGCCAAACTCTCAGGAAAGAAAATCCCACGCATAGAAAAACAGGAGTATAAGCTCTCAAGACTGGCTTAAAAGTGTTGGCTTCTCTATTTGCGCCCATAACATGAGCTTAAATGTGCCTCCTTAAGAAGCAGTGCCCAATAATGGGTGCTTAGGCGCCCAAACCCGATGCTTAGACATTAGGTTCTCGGGGTGCTTTTGGCTCCACAAAAGAAAAAAAAAACAATCTCTCACTTGGAAACGATAGCACCCAACGTAAGTCCTCTGTACATGTACTTCATCCGAATTGCCTTTATAGTCACATACCGTGGTGTGACTCACCCTGGTCTCAACCTGCTTGAAACCTAACTGAAGCCAAGCATGGCTTCAATTTTTCAATAGTCACAATCTTCATCAACATATTCGTAGGATTTTGTGCTATGTGTATCTTCTATAGGAATAAATGCCCATCTTCAAGAAGAGAGCGAATAAAATGATACCTCAGCTGAATGTATTTTGTCCCGACAAGAAAAGTGATGTTCTTTGCAAGATGAATCTCACTCATACTATCACTGTAGAGTTTTCCAAACCCATCCTCCTTACTCAATTCTTCCATAAGACGTTGCAGTCTTTAATCATCTCCTTGCCAGCCTCAGTGATAACAAAATATTCGGATTCCGTAGTTGAAAATTTAATAATCTTCTGCAACCTAAAAACCAAACTCACCATTGTGTTCCCCTATGTAAAGATTTACCTCGTTGTACTTCTCCTAATATTCACATCTTCTGCTAGATCTGAATCTATAAATCTATGTAGATTAATCCCCGCACTTCAATAACAAAGTTCCACGTTGATCGTTCCTCTCAAATACCTCAGAATCCACTTTACTGCCTACCAGCGATGTCTGTTTGGATTGCTCATGTACAACTAACCACTATCATTGCATATGCAACATCTAGCCTGGTACAAATCATTGTGTACATCAAATTTTCAACTGTTGAAGCATACAGTGTCTCTTCATCTGTGCTAGCTCCTTAGATAGTTTGAAGTGAATACCTAAGGGAGTGCAAAATGGCTCCACCTCTTTCATGTTGAACCTTTATAGGATCTTCTCAACATACTCTGCCTAAGACAACTTCAATATTCCTGCACTCTTGTCCCTATTTATTCTCATCCCGAGGATCTTCTTGGTTGGACCTAAATCCTTCATCTCACTCTCACTTGATAATTTTTTCTTCAAATCCCTGATTTTCTCCATATTTTTCACTACAATCAGCATGTCATCCACATACAAAAGAAGTAAAATATAATAGTTACCAAAGTATTGGTTGAAGCAACAGTAGTCTGACTAACACTCCATGTGTCCATTATCTGACATAACCTATTAAACCTCATGTACCAATGTCTTTGAGCCTGATTTAAGCCATAGAAATACTTCTTTAATCTTCAGACCAAATCTTCTTTGCCTAGGACTTGTAACCTTGTGGTTGCACCGTGCATAGCTCCTCTTCCAGTTCTTCATGTAAAAAGCTATTTTTACATTCTCTTCTCAAAATGTTGATCTTCTTCTGCTACCAGAGTCAGCACAATTGGGATTGTCGTCATCTTCACCACTGGGGAGAAAATTTCTATGTAATCCACTCATTCTCTCTACTGGAAAACCTTCACAACAAGTTTTATCTTTTAGCGCTTATTGTCTTTTGACTTCTCTTTCAGCCTATAGGCTCACTTGTTGTGTAGTACTCTTTTATCATTTGGTAGTATCGTCAAATCCTATGTCTGATTTGACTCAAAAGATTGCATTTCTTCATCAACGAAAAACTCTCACTTGGTTGAATATTCTACTTGAGTGGCTTCTTCAAAGCACTCTGGTTCACCATTATTAGTTAGTATTATAGTGTACAAAACGAGAATACTTATGTACAGGCCATATCACCTTGTTGAATCTTCTGACTTCTATAGCAAATGATTGGGGAACTTTCGGTACTCTTTCTATTTTAGCACTTCTTATTTATCCATCTTCTTCATCACCAGTATCATCTATCTCCACATATTTAGATTCTTAAGAAGTAGTTGATGGACTATCATAATTTTTTATTGTGTCAATGTGCATCTCTATTTCGTTAAAAGTGATGTCCTTGTTCCTGATGAATTTTTTATTCTAATAATCCCAAAAATTGTACCCAAACTCATCTGATTCATACCCAATAAAAGTTCACTTGGCAGATTTTGACTCAAGCTTACACATGGACTCTGCATCAACATGCACATATGCAGAACACCCAACTATTCTTAAATGAGATAGACATGCCTTTTTATCACTCCAAGCTTCTTCGAGTAAGCCTTCCTCCAAAGGTACTAATGGACTATGGTTAATCAGATAAACTACAGTGTTAACTGCTTCAGACCAAAATTATTTTGGCCTGCATGCATGCAGCCTCATGCTCCTAGTGTGCATTGTGATTGTTCTATTCATGCACTCAACTATACCATTCTGCTGAGGTATCCTTAAGACTATAAACTCATGTTAGACACCCCCATTGTAGCACATAAATTCTTAAACTTCTTATCATAATACTCGTCCTCATTATCTAATCTGAGACATTTTAGCTTTAAGATTGTCTCATCTTCTACCATTACCTTTTACTTCTTAAAGACATCAAATGCATTAGATTTTTTCTTTAGGAAATAAGCCCATACTATTCTTATGTGATTAGCAATGAAAGTGACAAAATAATGATAACCTCCAATGGACTGAATTGGAGTAGGACTGCATACGTAAAAATGCACTAACTCCAGTTTCTTTAATTTCATCATTGATCAGCTCTTAAAGAGAGAAAATTTCTTCTACTTGTCATGTAAAGTTATCACAGCAATCTAGATCAACTAATTTCAAACACTGAAGTTTTTTCTTAGAAAGTAGGAACTTCATACCTTTCTCGCTCATATGGCTAAGCCTACGGTGCCACAGAACTACATTCATCCCGGTTCAAGGCACTTCAATAAAATCAATCATTTTATTAATAAAATAAAGGGTGTGTTCAATGTTTCTCTGAGCCATCACTAGTATCCCCTTTATCACCTTCCATGAATCATCTATGAAAATAGTCATGAGTCCTGACTTTGTCAGCTGGCTCACAGAGATAAGATTTTTCTTCAAACATGGAACATGCCTTACTTCAGTAAGCTTCCATACTATTTCATTCGATAACTTGATATCAACATCGCCCTTTCCTAATGTACTGTAGGCCTTATTATCTCCCCAATAAACCTTCTCTAAATCACTCTGAGTATAGTTTTAAATACCTCTTTATTGGGACTAGCAAGAAAAGAGGCACCTAAATCAACTATACAGGATTCAATTTTGAATAGAGATAAAACTAGGGAGTCACTTTAGATTTTATCAGTAGAGGTATTAGTATAGAAGCGATTTTTCTATCTTTCACCACTAGCTTTCCTTTAAGCTTTGCAATCCTTTTTGAAATGTCTTTTCTTATCGCAGTCCTAGCATTCTCCTCTGCTTAACTTGGGCTTTCATTTCTTGGTCTTGGATATATCTCTGCCTGTATTCCTGCCAAGACTTTTTCCCCTATTATCATCATTCAACACAGAACCTGGAGGGTCATTCGTAGTTTTTCTATGAACTTCTTCATTCAGCATCAAATCCACGATACCATCAAAGTTCAACTTTGAAGTCCCTGAATAATTACTCACTGACATTACCAAACCATCCCAATTGTTTGAAAATGAGGACAGTATCACCAGTGCTCTAACCTCATCATTAGATTTGATACCCACATAACTCAACTGATTCATATAACTCAACTGATTCATCACAATGTTGAAGTTATTTAGATGCTCTGTCACTGAACTGCCTTCTA